GCCCGCCCCAACGTTTCTGATTGGTGCCGTGATTTCTGCGGACTGGAAATGGGTTTCAATGAGCTCTTTGCCAGACTAATGCCGCGTTCCAGGCAACCTGTAACCCGTGTTTTTCCAACCTTATACCCGTGAAAGTGCACTGGAACGGCAGTCAAACCCGTGACTTCCCACCCGTGAACTTGTACTAGATCGATGTACTCCCAGTTACGAGTTCTGACGTCACATAGCCCGCAAAACCATACAAAACAACAATGGCAGCCCCTACGGATGCAGTGTTTCTGCAGGCGGTACACAGTGAGAATACACTTTAGGACAAAATAACGCTGCAGTCAAATTAATAATAATATAATAATAATGATAATAATACACACAAGTTTATGTATTACAATGTTATGTGTCTGAAACAATAAGTATGTATATACACACACGATTATGTATTACAATGTTATGTGTCTGAAAAAATAAGTATGTATATTGCGCTCAGGTAGTTTGGCGTGACTGGCCTGGAATGCTACAAAGTCGTGAGTCGTGGTTTGAAGTCGTGATTTACGTGCTCAAAAACCTGCCTGGAACGCAGCATAACTTTCAGAGCAAATCTAAATTTGCCGGAAGTTGTCTGGGTTGTCCCAGGCTAAGGCTGTGCAGGAGATGTGAGCACTTTTCATTCCCGTCCCACAGAACATCTGTCAACAGGCACGGTTGATGTTTTATCTATAACAGGATACCGCACCATTTTAATTCAAAGTTGTTAGTTTTCTCTGCCCATTTCACCACTGGCAGTTTTTCTAACCTGGGACAATATCAAGCAGGCTTCGCTCAGCGTTTGATACTGAAGAAGGGGGCAATTCCAACTATATTGCCATTACAACCCCTACCGCAAGCAGTAAGTAACGTTAGTGATTTTATCCACTTCTTGACTGTTGAAGCCATTTCTGTTTAAATCAAAAGTTTCTTAGTGAGCTAACAACATTAACGATAATTTACCCTGTGTTGTCGAGATGGAACGCAAGATGCTAGTAACGTTAACCAGGGGCGTAATTTGTGGGGGGGATGGGGGGGATATAACCCCCCCCAATATTTAAATCTATGCATTACGACCCCCCCATTATTTATACCATGATCACAATATCAGGAGGCATACCCAAACTTCAACCCCCCCAATGTTCAAACCAAATCTACGCCCTTGACGTTAACCTTAGCTAACTAGCAAGCTCCAAGTAAGGAAGGAGCATAGATAACTAAATAGTATGACGACCTATTTACACGGAGGTTAATATTATTTCCGGCCTGTGTTATCATATAAATCTACAAGATACATCTATGTCAATCCCTTTTGTCGGGTAGTATTATAATTGAACTATTTCATCAACAACACGTAACTCAGGAGCTAACTAGGTTAGTTTGGTTGATTACAGATAGCTCACTTGCTCCTTCTAGCTAACGTGACATTCTCCACCACTTGACTCATTTGACAATGCATCTAGTCAGTTTGTTAAAAGAAAATTAGTTTGAGAACTGATGATTCTTTTGCACATTTGTATTTCAGAGTACATCACAGCTCCTGTACAAATCTGTGAAACAGCCAATCAGAGCAGAGCTCAACATTATTATTCATGAGTCACGACCCTTCCAAATAAGGTAATAACAGCCCATTTCATTCTAGGGACAAATCCTAGGGTTGTAAATGGACATGTAAAACCGTATCTGGAGAATTTTTGCCCTTACCTAAGCCACATACCTTCTATGTAGATATCAGAGAACAATTCAAAATATTGTATCAATGCATTCTATGGTACCTTTAAAGTACACATGAAAACAAAATTGACCATATTTACTTTATTAGTGCAAATTGTTAGTTTTGTGGTGAACAATTCATCCGTGCAAGTCAATCCACACACCAAAAAAAAATTGGCTTCGTAATCTTTAATCAAAATCTGAAAATGCTCCTCCCCTCTGCAACGATGTCAGTTTGACGGATTGGGCTTCTAGTCTAGATGGGATGTACCCAAAAAGTGAAAGTGAGGAGCATTTATGGGTACAAGTTGGGAACCGGCCTACTTTACATATTTCAAGGGTGCTGAATCCAAAAAAACTGGTACCCAAGCGAAATTGTAAGATTTTTGACCTTCTAATTTGCATATCAAAATGGCCGCCAAATTGCCTATCTTGCTCAGTCGTTGGACCACCTACTTCAGAGAATAGATTGGCAAGATCAGCTTTGTTGTCAGGGAGGGACAGGAAGTTGGTCCAGTTTTTCGGAAGATGCACATCACGACCCTCAACAAGTCTTCTGATCGGTTGAGCTGCTTTTGTGCGTCGTGTCCTGGTAGCACCCTTGATGGTCTCTTCTCTGTATCTGTCAAACACAACGTCTATCCGTTTATAGGAACATCCTGCTTTCAATACTGCTCTGACAAATGTGTCAGCCAAATCTCCAAATGTTACTGCTTTGTCTGGCTTTCCTAGTGCAACCACCAGTGCCTGTCCATCTATGATGAGGCAAGATGACATGTCGGGAAGTTCAATAGCCTCAGGACAGACTATGTCTTCTGTTAACTTATTTACGGCTTAACGTCCTTAACCACGCCCCTCCAACTGCCTGAATGAAACGCCTACTTTTCTAGATCCAATTAGGTTCCAGTTGGAAAAAACAAGCCACGCCCTCTCTTTTTATAATTTAGTATTCCGTTTCTCTCGGAAATACATCACAACACTGAAATAAAGTCGGTTGCAACTTCCGGTTCACAGGGACTTTAAATGCTCTGGCGAGGAGATAAACATGGCGGACATAATTCATGTACAGCTCACTCAAGGCAGGGTTTATGCTAATAAGGCAGATTCAGCAGTTGTGGGCCGGGCCTGAGCATGTGACAGCACATTGGAGCACATTCCTGAACGGCTCATTTTGAGACGTTTACATGGACCCTTATAATCGGATTGACGGCTCAATCGGACTAAAAAACCTTCATGTAAACACCTTAATCGATCCGATTGAGCTCGATCCGATTGAAAGGGGTGGTTTACTCCTTTTGTAATCCGATCGAGAGAACATATAAACACTTGATCGGATTGAAAACCGAAACTAAAAGGACTGCGCATGTGCAATGACGTTGAAATAGCGTAATGACGTATGACGCACGGAACGAGCTGTTCTTCCTGTTGAATAAAGTGAATATAAATGAGTGTTCCGTTATTAAAAAATTCTCATTTGAATTTTGAAGTGAAGCAGGACAACGTCCCACCAGTGCTTGTTTCAGATTATCATCCATGGACGACTGGTTTTGGGCGCAGGGTTTTACTGCGTGATCAATATAAGCAGCACGGCAAAACGGTTCAAGCTCATCGTCTCCAAATCATGACCAGAGACGGATAAATATTAAAGGGTTAGTTCGCCCATTTAAGACATGAAGTTGTATGCAATCCTTACCAGCACTGTAGTGCATACACACTGACCCACTCTGTAGTCACCTCCCTGGTCAGAGTTCTGGCCGCTGGAAGTTTTTCAATGAAGTACTCCCGGTTATTTTCCGGGGCCTCAAAACTGTGCGTTTTTACGTGAAAAAATTATTTGCGTTTCAAAGCTTGATTAATTTACCACACAAAAAACACGCCGGTCAAAATTCATACCTCAGTTTTAATCGGCACTATTTTCTTTCCATTTCTATCAATCCGCGCTGCTGTCAACGTCAACAGTGCGCACGTTCCGATCAGCTGTTCCATAGTGTTTACACAATCGATTGACAACGACGTAAAAAGTATTAGATTAACAATGGTGCGAACTTGTAAATTCCCAGGCTGTGACCACAACGATGTACCGGGATCAAAGTTCAGATTCCATCGTTTTCCTGTTTCGAATATAACTATGAGACAGCTTTGGCTGGTTGCCATTGGCTACTCTGCGGGAGCTAAAATATCCAGTCCGGAATAAAGGATTTTCGTGTGTGTAGTGCTCACTTCAGCGAAGACGATTACAACCAAGGAGGAAAAGGAAAATTAAAGAGTTTTGCTGTACCAGTACCACGGGTAAGCTCTATTTACTAACTTTATGATCCCATGTCTAAACTGTACGGTAAACAAGCTGATGTTTAACGTTAGACTCCATTATAAAACACGTGAAAAGATGTCTAATATAAAAACAGTATAGGGATATTGGTACAATTTGCTGAGAAAACTATTTGATTGAACACACATACAATTGAGGTTTGGTGTTGCAATCAATAACATTGTCGTTGTGCTAAAATTACTTTCATCATCTGATCCGTCTGGCATTGTGCTAAAATTGGTTTCATCATCAGAAGTTTCGCAGTCAGACATGTTGTCAGCGAGTCGCGCTATCAACAGCTGATCGGAACGTGCGCACTGTTGACGTTGACAGCAGCGCGGATTGATAGAAATGGAAAGAAAATAGTGCCGATTAAAACTGAGGTATGAATTTTTGACCGGCGTGTTTTTTGTGTGGTAAATTAATCAAGCTTTGAAACGCAAATAATTTTTTCACGTAAAAACGCACAGTTTTGAGGCCCCGGAAACTAACCGGGAGTACTTTCTTGAAAAACTTCCAGCGGCCAGAACTCTGACCAGGGAGGTGACAACAGAGTGGGTCAGTGTGTATGCACTATAGTGCTGGTAAGGATTGCATACAACTTCATGTCTTAAATGGGCGAATTAACCCTTTAAGTCTGCTGTTTTAAAAAAAATAAAGAACCAATAGAGGAGAATAGTTATCCGCGAACAGCGGCATATTCGTGCAGTAGCCTAGTGTGCGCATGTCAAAAAATCAATTCCGATTTGAATCTTGTGACATATAGCCTAAATGCGCACATCAACCCGATTACTTTATTTATCGTTCATGTAAACACCGCGTTCGGATTTATCAATCGGATTGATTTCATTCCGATTGAACCATGTAAACGCAGCTGTTTCAGATTTATGGGGAAAATAACAAATGGATGGATTTTTACCACAATTGGGTTGTTGTGTACACACTGCAGACACATAAATATGTTCAAAAACAATATAAAAGTGAATTTTGCATATTAGGTCCCCTTTAATATTTGAGTACAGTTAAACACGAGTAATCAATCATGAAAAAAAAAAACCAGACAGAATTATATTTTAAAGTATGAACATTTATTCACCTGATTTTATTCCTGTCACACAAAATACCAAAGCTTCCATAAAGATTCCCCACAGAAAATAATAGCTGATTGTATAGCTATAGCTTTGTTTGGAAAAAGCGTGTCTGTTTTTACTCTCAATGTTTCTTTTTGTTTTTTCATTATCCTACTGGGAAAGTTTTCCACAATCCACATTCCCAACATTTGTTTTTTTGCCAAGGAACTTTAATCTCACCTTCGAGAGCTGAACATGAAGGAGTACAGACAAAAGATGATGGATGCACGCTTGTATACTAACATGTCTAATATGTGAATTGTTCTATTCCCAATATAAAGGATATTTCCTGAATAACATTAATGTTTGATTATAATCTTTTACCTCCCTCTACCTCTCACTTTCGCTCGCTTTGACCCTTCCGTTTTCATTTTTGAACACTTTCACTCGTCTGGTTCTCACCACCCGGTTCATAGGACGGACTACTCGAACCATGTACCGTCGTGAATACTTTGTTTGACTCTGTCCCATTCCTTTCACACTCTGAGGAGCCAGTTCCTTGCCGTCCCCTCCCTCCTCACCCTCCTCTCGGTAACCATGATGACGGAGGAAGGGTTCCAGGGTTGCTAGGCGATTGTTAAGATCTGTGATGCGCCTCTGTAAGTGGGAGACTTCTCTGAAGAGATCATTTAGGGACTCCGAGAGAGGACGAACCCTGTGAGAAAGAAAAGTGTGAGACGGGACTGGAATGTGTGAGAGTGAGTGTGTTTGTGTGCCACATCTGTACGAGAGAGAAAAATAGTGTATAATCGCTCTTCTGTGCTTCTTCCGTAAGGGTTTGGCAGATTTATACAGCAATTTAAAAAAATATATTTAAATGGCATGAAACAAATTATTCTTTCATGTAAGGACGTAATTCATATTTTCATATTTCATATAAGCCCTACACTTTAAACACTCAACTCTGAATCAATGTACCAAGTGAGACCTAGGAATAAGAGTGTTAATATGGTAAGGTTGTGTCAATTATGCATTATTGATGTGATAAAGGAGATTTCACATAAATTTTAGTGCACTATATGTGTGGTCAGTAAGTCAAATAACATACATTAACAGGACGTAGTTTAAAATGACAAGGCTGAGCTTCTGGTCCTTCTAGCCAAGACCTGCCTCACAAAATCTCGAAAGGTCACAGCGCTACTGCCTCCAGGTGTGTTAAAACGCTCAGTGCCAGAGGATGACGAGTCCTTTGTACACCACATTATGACAACTGTCCGATCCTGCCGCTTCACGAACAACAACAAAATGAAAACAGCCTTTTTGCTCGGTAGCTCATCTGGTCTATAGCATTTTCACAGTTAGACTAATGCGAAGTAATCTCTCTTCTGGCGTCTGCCATCCCTTACGAAAATTAACCATGGTTTTATTATAGTAGCCTACAAGTGTAGTAACCATGTTTTAGGTGGATTGATTACCATTTGTATAACCACAGTTTTACTACAAATAGCATGGTTAAACTATAGTTAGTGTAGTTTTTTTTTGTTGTTGTAGTAAAACCATGGTTAATTTTTGTAAGGGATAGGCTACTTATCCTCAAATGCATCCAAAATCCTGCCATCCAGTCATCGTGTTCCTTTACGCTTTTACATTTTTTTATGTGATACGTATAGGCCCATTTATTCGTTGTGCTGCGTCCTGATGCTTTTCAACCGCACTGTTTTTCTCACGAGCACCGCTTTTTTAAACGCTGTGTCAAGTTAACCTTAAACGCATAGCCTATTTCGGGTCTTTTGTGACCCGGGACGTCATTCACTACCCTCCTCCTCGTTCATTTTTTTAAAAAAGTTAGACATCGAATATTCGTAGTATTCCTCAATCAATTCATTATAAACAATGTATAATAATAATACAATTATAAAAGAATTCCTGGTTTCCCATTCATTTTTTTGAAAAAATTGTGTAGGGTCGCTAACGACCCGAGGTGTTTAACAGTGTAAGTATATTTTTTTCTGCACAATAATACTTGAATCTTTTATGACTGAATAAGTGCAGTGTCTGATAAGTCTGATTGCTTGATTGAGAATATGTTTGAGATGGTGAATATGAGCCAGATGGTGAATGCACTGGGAAATGACCTCTGAGGAGGACAGTGGTGATGGTATAAAACATCTGCCCAAACTGATCCCTTCCAAGCTCCAAAAGGTATCGAAATATGCTTTATTTTATTGTTCTGTAATTGTTACTCTGATATCAGGACAGGAGAGTTTTATATTATCGTGACAGATCCATCCATGTATATTGATCCGGGTTGCTTGGCCCCAATATGTAATAATGATTGGCGAAACATTCATGCATTTAAGGATTAAAGGTAGGGTAGGCAATTTTCGGAGCGGCTAGTAATAGCAAGTTATAGCAAGCATGCCCTGGTGAAAAAAAATATGCTAAGTATACTTGCTGCCAGACTAATTTGTGCTAACACACTAAAGTGTATATATATATATTTTTTTTTTTTGTGTGTGTGCCTGTTATTAGGATAGGACAGTAGCTAGACAGGAAGTGAGGTGGGAGAGAGAGAGAGAGGGGGGACGGGATCTGGAAAGGTCCACGAACCGGGACTCGAACTTGGGTCTCTCGAAGCACATGTCGGCACACTTGCCCACGAGGCTATCGGCACCGACTACTATAAATTGCACACTTTGTCTTTAATAACAAATGCACATTAATAGACGAATAATACTTAGCTATACTTTGTACAAAATACTATTGTATACTACAATATATTTTGAAAGTATACTTTCAATCATTTCCAGTTAAAATATACCTAAAATATATGTTTAATAAAGTGCAAATAAATACACTTTTAAAAAATAAACTGAATTTTCACTTCAAGTATATTTTTTCTAAAATGTATGTTTAGAAAATATAAAGTACAATTATTTTAAAGTGTGTTAAACGTTGTATTGTGAAAATAGGTAAAAGCATGATGCTAATATACTTTTAATATATTTCAAGATAGGACCATTTTTGTGCAATGTACTATTGAAAAAGGGAATATATTTCAAATACAATAAAGTATACTCTTTTTTTCACCAGAAAAAATTCAGAGTCTCCAAAGCCCTTCTTTAGCTTCAGCATTTAATTGGCGGTAAATGTCTCGTAAACCTTTTTCATCTGGATTTAAATTGTTAGTATTAATTTTTTAGCTAGTTAAGTAGTTTAGGTGTTTGTTATTGGCGCTTGATGTCTAGCTTCACATGCTTTGTGTATTATTAGCTTGATCTGCTAATTGGCACTAGTCGGATACGCTACAGTTGATCAAATAAAAGAGATCAGCTTCCTTTAACAGTCTCAGTCTGAATTACAAGAATCATTATCTCATGTACATGCAATACAGTCATTCAGACAGCATGTGTGCCTGAAAAACCTTTTCCTGCCATTTTAAGTGCTGTTGCAAAGCTTGTAGCTTAGAATAAGCTTCATGAAAACAATCTCCTCAGGGCAAAGGGAGTGAGTCTGTTAAACTGCCGACTTCAGGATAACAAACCCCAAAGGACGCTGCATTTTTTTTGTTTATATAAAACCGTCCAACAAGCAGCTTTCATGTGCAAAAAAAACTTTAAGTGAAAGTGGGCAAAACAAGAAAGCTTTAGTGAACATAGCAAAGAGAGCTAGGCCTAGCTACTTGTTACAGGTAAGTGTTGTAATAAATGCATGTTATAACATATTGGTGGTTGGTTAACACTAATTGCTTTGTACTTCAAGTCTCTTTGCAATGAATTTGTACAGGTATCAGGAAGTACAATGTGTTACCTGGAGTAGTCTGGCAGAAGGGCATTGGGTTGTGAGTGTAAGAGGGTCTTGATATCTTTGAATATGCGTTTGCCCCAGGCGTCCAACACTCGAGTCACGCTGCGTATGTTAGCCACGTTCACGTTCTCCGCTGCCGTGAGGGCAAAGACAACGAGGTTAGTCTTTAATAAGGCCGGCGACCACATGACAAGAGGCTGTCTGATACTTCAGAATGGGTTTAATCAGGTTTCTTTCACTGGACTACAGGGCTTTAACTTTAAAGGGTGGAATTAGGAGATGTCTGTTTGTGTTTTAGCTAGGCTGACAGATAAGGGTGTGAGTTATTTGGTGTACACTGGTGGTGGTCAGCAATGTGACTTCAATTGAATATTAGATAATAGCTCCATGAAACTGTCCAGACTGACCAACATAGACCAACACAATGATTTGATTGTTTGTGGAATGGACGCATCACAGAATATTACCTCAGAATTAAACACAAATTTAAGCAGATACCCTCAGAATTTAACCACTAATAAGTAGTCTCAACTAAGTTGAACACATTCTATATATGAAACCAATACATATTATTGATCTGTTCTACCTCCTTCCCTGTAGTTCCAATTCCCATAATCCACTTCGTTGCTCATCCCAAAGCATGAAGCCAAAAACGCCACGGCCACCATAGGCACCATCAGTATCTTCTTTGCCGTGGGAACAGTCATGGTGAAGAAGTGTCTGAGATGTAAAGGAGAGGCAAGGAGAAATAGCAAAAATTTAAACAAGTACTAAGAAAGCTCCCAGTGTAAGGCAAGAGATTTAAACCTTTACCCTGCCAATACATCTGGCACACGGGAAAGCACTTTGTTTTTTCCAGGACAAACAGCCAGAAGTGTTTTAGGGTCCAATGATTCTGTGGAAAATAGTGCAGAGGCCTGTATTTTTATACAATTATTCGTTGTATTCGTTGTCAATTTCTCCTCAGGACAATTTGGGCTCTTTTTTTTTTGTCCTTTTGAGTTTTTTTATTAGAATTTAATATTAAATTATTCGAGGCACAAATGTATTTATTTATTTATTTTTACATTACCTTTTCTGTATCCAACTATTAAAATCACACAACAAAGTAATAATTTTCACTTTATCTGTTGAAATAATATTTAATTAATAAAACTATTTTAAATTTGTAGCTATTTTTTATTTACCAAAATTATTGCTTTTATAACAAAATGTTACATCCATTTGGATTGCTTCTACAGTACGGCCTACATCATATTTTGAAAATTAAATAAAGTAAACAAACTCAAACTCACTTTCCAAATATTCTATATGTCAAGAACTTCCTTTCTTTGACCGTTGATTGAAAAAGTAACATTGACTTTATTCTATTAGTTTCATGCTTTATTTCCGTGGCCTCTTGCCCTTCACCTCCAAAGAATCACTCAAGCGTTGGGTATTTCCAGGCTATTTAAATGAATGACTAGTTCATTCAGGAACACAGAGGCGAGATGGATGACGGGCTGATTGTCTTGTGACTGGCCTAACTGATAGCAAACTCAATTAGTTTTATTTGAAAGAAAATCTCCTTTGTGCTGCATTGAGCCACAAGTCTCAATGACTGAGGCATAGAGAGCTCTCTGAGGTAAGATAACTGTGAGAACTCACAATCAACATGATCATTAGACTAAAACAATCACATTGCAGAGAAACGCTGCAGTAAAGCAAAGAGAAACTGGAGTGAGAGGGAGTCCAGAAGGGAGAGAGAGCTTTACATAATATTGAACTTGGAGATAGTAATTGACTTTGTAGAGTGAGTCAGAAAAGAGGCATTTCTTAAAATGGCTCCATGACATCGTGGCGTAGCAGAGATCTGGATGTGCTCAAGAATCCGAAAATCACAGGATTAATGTTCGATCAGGACACTTCTGTCAGTTTTTACCCATTTCACCCTTTTTTTTTTCTTCCAAAAATCATGCAGTCTCTCAAATTCAGAGAGAAGGAGCTGACATACAACATGGATATCAAGCAAACACTTACAACAGACATAAATACATCCTGAACATTGATGAACATTGACATACACTTGCTGTAAAATAGATTTTTGATGCTTTATGAGTTCTAGACTGACCCAATTGCAAGATATGAAGGATATATCCAGCAGAGAGAGGCGAAATAGCAGAATAGTAAAACTGCAGGACACAGATACCACTTTAAGTGCAATATTATAGAACACTGGTTTTAATTCCACTTAAAGTTACTTACTTTTTCAGGGAACGAGATGTGGCTTTCCTTTCTCTTTTGTTGTCCTCCTCTCCTCTGCTGTAATATCACTGTCCTGTCCACTTCTTCTTTCTGAATGCTATTGAAGTCTATTGACAGTCAGACACACTTAAACTTATTTCTGCCCTGCATAAGAACTTGTGTACAACTCTCTCTCTCTCTCCTCTATCTTATCCCCTCCCTTCTTTTTTTCTTTCTATTTTCTCTTTCCCCCACGTCCATCTGTTGGCCTCTGCCTTCTCACTCCTTCCCAAAATATCACCCTTTCCAGATGTGCACCTTTTCTGTAGATTTATTTTGTTTTCTCCATCTGATCATTTGCCCTTTTTTCACTTATAGTGACACACACACACACACACCTTATATAGTAAATAGTGAGGATCTTTCATTGACATTATAATAATAATGCTACAACCTCTAAACCAAACCCTTACTGAAACCTATTGACATTTTAAAGCAAAGCACGATTTAGCTGATTTATGTGCATTTTAAATAGTGATAACCACTTCAGATGTCCTCATCTGTCAGTTTTTAACATGTTTGATTATATGTGTGAGGACATTTTCTCACAAGAATAGACAAATCTACACAGAGAGAGAGAGACTCTAGCAGGTTAGCAGTGAAGTCAGTCTCATAAATCAGTTATGGTTTCACATGATTTCTTTTATTCAATCAAGGCTCTTTAACATTGCTGAGCAAAAAATGCATGTGGCTTTCAGTTGGAATGCCCTTTTATTAAAAACACGGCATTCATAATTCACTCTTCACTTCTCACTGTATTATTTCCATGGTTACAGTTGGCGATTTTTTGTCTGCCACTTCAATACATGTCTTTTAAACCTGGATAAAAAAATGTCCAGACTTGTAATAAAAATATGTGCCAAAGGTAATACCATTTACCTTGATTGTACTTTTGAATTCAATACAAGACGACTATTTTAAGTCCTAAAACAATTGTTACCAACCTCAAAATCAAGATAAAAACTTGTGTGGTTGTTATTTATATCCAGGAATTGCAGCAGGATAGATATACACATTTATAATTCAAAATCAACTTCCTTTTTTTATTTCTCGAATGTAGACTGGAATGAACATTTAATGCCTTTACATATGTTTGACTCTCATAATGACTCCAGAAAGAAACAATGAAAAAGATTATGGGACATGAAATATTTTGATTCCCTGGTATCCAGATGTTATATTTGTTGTGCTCTTTTTTTTGCTTTCCCTGGCCTCTCCCTCTGGTATGTGTGGTCAGTTTTTGCCTGGCTTATACGAGTTTGTGAGTAGGCTATTCCTTTACTTCAGCTCAGCAGTCACAAGGCACACATGCACCTGTTTCTCATTAAATAAGGCAATTTGTCACCTCTAACTGAATTCCTTGCTCTTTTCTTCTCCTTGCTCCTCATTTATCTCTCTATCTCAGTCTTTTTATTTTTATCATGGAGTATTTGAGGTGCTTGTGCAGTCTTGATGGCTTAAATTTAGTTTTATGTTGTTGGCTTTTTACGTCACTTATAGACATTATCGTCTGCCTGTTATCTATTTTAAATCAGATAGGCTATTATATATATAGTTTTCTTCCTAATATATACTTTAAAGTTATACTAAACGGTGGGAAAACTTTATTTGACGATTCACTACTGCTGTTTTTGATTTATCTGTCCTGGCGCTTATTATGTGTATTTCAGTGACAGTGATGTAATCATTATGTAATTAATTTTTTTGATGATTTTGGAAGTCCTCTTTATTTGATGCGAGTCCAGGCGCTCTCTCGCAAAGTATCACGTGCTCTTCTGCTGCCACCTGGTGGTCAAAGACAAGGTGCACTATTTTTAAACCAAATTATTCCCGAATTCGAATTAGCAAAGTAGCATAGTAAAAAGTTTAAAACGCCTATTGTTTCTGCATATAAACATAGGCTATAATTAAGCATTTTTTGTGACATTTTTTTAAAGACCTGAACTGAATTTTTCCCACACGCTTTGTAAAGAAACTAGATTTTAGTGTTGAAACTTTGTTTAAAAAACTGTTTATATTCAGATTTAAGTATTATTACGTTTTTAATATACCAACCAAAGAACAGCAGTTCTGTTAAAGGACAAAATTAAGAAAGAGAGCTTGTGGTGTGAGAGAGGAAGTGTTTACTGAGGATTGCATGAGCTTGTACTTCACGATGTTTATGAACTTCCACTCTGATGTAGGCTAATATGGCTTAACATCCTGTGTTGTTACGGTTGTTTTTTGTTGTTGTTTTTTTGCCACTTCTTTTGGAAACTTTGTGCTGGATGGTGATATCTGAGCTTTGATGAAACAACACAAAGAAAGAAAAGGTGGATTATTTTGTTTTTGTTTTTAAAATGAAAAGACATGTACATTTTGCACATATAAAGATGTATGCTGTGCTGTGTTGGATCGTAATACTGTGCTGTTGGCAGGAAACCCAAGGTATAGTTGACCATTATTTATGTGTCATTGCAGTGTGTGTTTCATTTCATTTTCGTTATTGTATTGCTGGATTTCTCACCCACACTCTCTCAAGACGAATTAGAAAGTTAATGAACATATCATGAGAGCACAGATGGTTCAATAACACCATGATATTTCCTCTGTCCCTCCAGCCAAATTTAACATCTCTATGTTGAACAGAACCAGAGTGGCACTAGCAGGAGACGTTCTTGACTTCCACCTGTCAGTGGCAATTCCAGCAAACTACAGCTCGAGCCTTTTATGCTTCACTCAGAACAGGCAAATTTGGAGTACAAATCTTAAAAGTGATTTTTCTGACAAAAGCGTGTCGGTGAAAGCACAAATCAAAATGCACAACAGCTCCAGTTCTGGCAATTACTACTTTCGTAATGCATTAGTAAAGCATGGGCAAATTTTGGAAGTGCATTGGGTGGTTCATGTGAGAGGTGAGTCTGCAGATCATTGATCATCCAGGATTGGGCTTACATTTTATGTGCGCTATGAATGAAATGCATTGGTGCCTTTTGCTAATCTCTCAGGCACAACTTAAACAGCATTAAAATATGTATGAATCTTGATAGTGGTTTTTACTTCAAAACCTTTCATTTGATACATTTGTGGCTTGTGAGCCAATAGGCTTGACTGATGAATAAAGAGGATCATGGATTCATAAAAAAATGATGACAGCAAAGGAAGCCTGAGAGTTCAGCCATGTGACATACTAGACTGAAACTGTCACTTTCAGCAAAAGAAAAACTCTCTATTTCCCCTTTGTTGCTTCCCTCCCATGTCCCACCCTAACTCTCCGTTCTCAAGATAAAGGTTATGAGGAGCCAAATGAGGAGTTAGAAGATGACATCATCACAATGATGGCTTTCTCGGGAATTCTTCTCATCTTCAGTGTTGCCGGCTCACTTTACATATTAAAGAGCTACAAGGTAACACTTGGCCACACATATATAGCACATACTGTAAAAATTCAACTGATTCTCAAATTGTGTATACTTTATTCAATACTTTGAGGGGTTATAGATATGGAATGTTAACTAAACAGTATTCTGTCCGTCAGTTCAGAAAAGATGATCTTTGTTTTATTATGCAAGATGTGTAATTCCAGAATTGCTTTGATTGCAAGATAGTGCTGTTATGAGCAGAAAAGGGCAGACGTGTACAATCCAGAAAACCACATGCGTTACTGTTAGTTTCAGATCTAGTTTTGCCTCTTTTTTTTTTTAGGATCAACCGCCTTGTAGAGATGACAAAAATGTAGTAGCAGAGCAGAGACCCGAGGATAGCAACGATGTGATGTTGGATGAGGATCCTGCATCTGCATCACTCTACACAGTGAGATTTCTTTTTCTTTGTCTCAATATTTGGAATTTATTGGGAAATGGTTTTAGTAAGAATTTTAGGCTTAATAAGGGCTTTATGCATCACTTTATACTCCCTTCCAACAGGCGCTACAACACAGATCAAGCTCCATTTATGATTCTCTGAATCCAGAGATTATGATGCATGAAGAAAACACAAGGGAGAAAAATTCAGATAAAAAGGTTTGTTTAATAGGGGAAAATTGTACAACATTCCATGACCTGTAAAAATATGTTAAATTATTATTAATTATATTACATGTCTACATTAAATAATATGGTTGTAAATTTAATGAATCATGCAGTGAAGGTACTTCATGACATACACTTTGCATTTATGGTAAAACATAAAAAAAACTACTAATACTTACAAACTCAGACACACGATTAAACCACAAAGCACATATTATCACCAACAATATACCTTTGTGTGTTTGTAACAAAAACAGTCTCTCTAGATAGTTGATCCACTATTTTAAATCAAATATAACTTTCTGAACCCTATTGGTTATTAGCAATATACGGGAATTAAACCAGATGTCATGTCACCCTTAATCAAAAAGAAAATTTGTCATAATTAGAATTTGAGTATTGTTTTAGAATACCAACATTTTCTATTGCTGTGTTCTCTTTCAGCACTGCGAAGCCCAAGAAGAAGTATTTGATTCTGTTTATGAAAACCTGTGAAGGAATCAATGAATGAATTAATTTTACTAGCTAGAATGTACTTAGTGTCAAATAAATATATTTTGTATCATATTTTGTGTAACATAAAATAAATGAAAGATCAAAACAACTGAAAGCTGTGTCAATATGTGTCGTTTCCCCCCAAACCTCTCGCCTCACCTCCCATAGACATAATAAATACATAGCCGCCCTATTGGCCGCTGGAGCGTACGTCAACGGCGCCGCCATGTTGGGGATGGCAACTTTCCCATACCTCTCATACCGGGAATTGAGAAAAATGCCTGTTTTGTGCGCTGTTTGGGGCTGTACACATCGCCACACAATTGAAAACAGCTTTCGAGGAATTACCTTTCACAAGCAAGACTGAACGTTTGTTTTTGGTTGTATTTTGTCATGATTTAATTAGTAATAGTATTCAGAGGATACATTTAAAAATACTACTGTTATTGTGTCACGAAATGTAGTTTAAATAGTTTTTCAGTCGACAATGTAGTTGTTTAAAGCTCAAATATGTGGTTTGTTTATAAAGATAGCGCCTATTTAAAAATTTGATCTGAAGTTTTCGGAGTTGTAAGATGCGCTCAGCGCTCGTCTACCCCGCCTGGAACAGCCGTCCCTCGGCCAGTGTTTTTTAAGTTTTGCCGCAGACTCGGATGTCTGTAGTCTAGTGGTTAAACATGAGATATAATTCGTCTTGTGTATATCTAACGGGCGATCTTTGGTCTCATTAATCTATAAATGGTTCCCTGGTAAATCGTTTTGGCTGAGGGCAAAGTGAAGTTTCATAACTTTATATTTAGGCTATTTTAACGTTGTATCCTGCTGTATGTTTGACTGAAGCTACTTCTGTTATACTGATCAATAAAACTGAAATTTAACAAAAAGAGTTAAATATTAAAGTCACTATTTAACTTATTTTTTATTGTGTATATTCTGTAATTGATATTTCTTATTCTATTGCTATTATTATAGTATTATTAATAAACTATGCTATTATCAATATTTTTTTGATTGTATTATTGTACTTATGATATTATATAATTATACTAATCATTACTATTTTATTTGCTGTATACTATTTGTTTATTTTATTGACTAAACTATTTACTATTACTTCTCACTTTATGTTATATTTACTATTTGCATTGCACTGTAGTTGTACCAAAACGTATTATTATAAAGGATCCATCAGTTATCTTTGTTACTGCTAAAATCTGGTCAATCACAGAAAATGCTTTTTCCACAATAAGAAAACTTAAATTATATCTCAGTATGGGGGTCTTCACCATTCTTATCCAAGAATAAAAAGCCAGATACATGACAAGCCTGAGCTTAATTGACCATTCTTTATAAAAAAAATAAAATATTTTTCAAGTCTAACTATCGAGATTTTAAATAACTAGAGATGGAACTTTTTGTACACCACATACAAACCACTGAAATCGGTTGATAAAAGTAAAAACAGTTTGTTTTTATCCAGAAAAAACGCAGCTCCCCGTTTACTTACATTTGTTCACAGCGCAGTCTTGCCCTCCGCAAAATGGCGGACCCGTTGACGTATCGCAGCAACGTTCCAAAGCGGCCAATAGGGCGTCTATGTATTTATTATGTCTATGTCACCTCCTGCATAAAACCGATTTTCTGTTGCCTGTGAAGTGTGAAAACCAATCAAAAGACAGCTTCATATGTGTGCAACCAATGGGAACACTCGAATTGGAACTTCCTGTGTGTTTGCCCCTCCTTCTTAAGTGTCAACAATGGCAGCCGAGGGAGATTTTCTGATGCGCTACCGGGCAGTGTCAAATAAACTGAAAAAGTAAGATTTATATTACTAATAAAATATTATTTTCAATGTTATCCTTAGTAGAAAATCAATGTTGTATACAATATTGAGCGTGACCAAAGAATGTCATGACAGCACTACACAACCCACACTAGCACGTTGCTAACTAACTTAAAAGAGATACGAAATTAAATAAGCCCATTAATGTACGATTTTATGTATAAACAGCTGATGATCACATCTTTTAGGTGTTAATTTTCACGCCAGCTTCTTCGCATAACGAACAATTCTTCCTGCAGAGTGGCTAGTCGGATGTCCAGCCTATCAATTTAATCTTATTTTGTGGCGTTTTAATATTTCGCTCTTCTCCTTCAAATCACAGACGTTTTCTACGGAAGCCTAATGTTGCTGAAGCAAGTGAACAGTTTGGTGAGTACTGTATCAGAAGACTGCTCAGATCGTGTAGCATTGCTAGTCACTGTTTATCATTGTATGACATCTTTCCTCAGGTCAGCTGGCCAAAGAGCTGAAACAACAGGACTGTCCTCAGTATGCTGCCTTCTGTAATCTCGCCATGGCCCGGTAAATGATCTACAATAAATTAAATATCAAAGAATACACATGGATAAAATAACAATAGTAAAATGATTTAAATGAATCACAATGTTGATTTAACTAAAAAAAAAAAACGAATACATCTAACAGTACAGTACTATAGATTTCCAAATAATATTTGACACAATTAATCTAATTTTTATTGTCTAAATTGGGTCTTTATACATAATTTTTTTTTTGTTGCTGTTTTTGTTTTTTTAAATTGTAGAATTGGGGTCCCTCGCATGAGGCTGATCATATTTGGGGTCCTTGGTGGCTAAAAGATCGAAAGCTCTTGCTCTAGTCTAGAGAACATGCTAAAATGTGTGTTTCTGTCTTCATAGCTGTGAGCAGACTCTGTTCAATGCTCCAGGAGAAGCCCTGGCTCTGACTGATGCAGCCCGACTCTTTCTGGCCTCGGAACAGGAAACTAAAGCGCTGATGGCTCCCGGTTTCGATGAGAATATGCAGGCAGCAATGAACTGCTATAGTTTTGCCATTAAGGTATTTATCTCAATCAAATGTATTACTAGTTACTCAAACTCATTGAGATAAGCATATATAAACAAAGGTTATTCAATTGCGGAAAGTTGGGCTCAGATTTGAATATGCAGTTTTAAATAGAATCAAAAATAATAATTTACATTGAAAGTGTCTTTTTATGTTTTCAATAAATAAAACAATGTTGCTCCTGCTTAGCTTAGCCTGGCATAGTTTTATTTTACTGTCGTTGAGGTACTATTATAGCTTTTGTTTTATTAAAAAAAAAAACAAATCTTTTAATATCATGTCTATAGTTTTTCTACATTTTTATTTCAGTTTTGATTATTTTAGTACATCAAAGTGAAACTAAATTTAAATGTTTCCTTGGCAACTAGCTGAAATAAAACAAGGTGGCGTTTACATGACAACGGTTTCAACTAAAAATGAAAAACATTTTATGCATTTTGGCTGTTCATTTACATGACAACGGCGTTTTGGGGGCCTGAAAACACAAACTATTGAAAATGGGTTTCAAAGTGCATTTTTTTGAAAAGATACCGTTATCGTCTCTGTGTAAACTACACACAAAAACGAGAAAATGTGAAAACGTCATGCTCATGCGTATTACGTGTTCAGTCTATAGGCGCAGAGTGTTTCTTTACAAAGTGACATCGCCAACTACTGGCCTGTCAGCAGAATACAGTGATTTTAGTTGTTTTGGCGGAGCCGTGTGAACTGGGATCGTTTTGATAACGTTGACGTCTGTAAAACGCAAAGGAAAACCGTTTCCGTTTTTAGTACAATTTTGTCGTGTAAACGTACTCAGGTTTTTTTACAGTTTATTTTGTTTCAGTTAACATGTATTTTATTTCAAGGGTGAACAGCTAAACCACTATAAAGCAAAGCAACATTTGTTATTACAGTGATAGGTCACCCCAAAATGAAACGGTTTCAGCTAATTTTCGCTTGCTGCTAGCTGCTATTTCACATGTTTCATGTTAAAATGCTCTTAAAAATAGATTTGAAGAGTACTGCTGGACCAATATAGTAAAAAGCCTAAAATCTTCCAATCACATGCAGATTTTGTGTTTATTTAGATGTTATACTGCAAATATGTACTTATATATTGTTTAGGTCTATATTGAGATGAATCAGCCTGTTATGGCGGCCAGTCTCTCACTGGAGCTTGGCAATGCTCTGAAGGTGAGACATTAATCATTGTAATTCATGGGGAGGCTTTCTCTTAATAAATGAATTTAAAACGCATATTGACCTTCTTCCACAGTGCCTCGGCATGATGTGGTCCTGTTTATATATTTGTGTGTAGGAGATGAATAGACCGGGGGAGGCGATAGTTCATTTCCAGAGAGCCGCAGAACTGCAGATTCAGACTCCAATTGAAGCCCTGCTATCACTGTGGGAAATGGCCTCCTGCAAAATACTGACCCGTGAGTTCAAAGAGAGGAGCGCTTTCCTGATTCATTTCATGCGTTGAGTGTCAGATGTGGTTCTGTGGTTGTCAGAGCAGTGATGTGATGTTTGATCGGCAGGTGATTATGATGGTGCTCTTGCTGTGCTCTCAGAGATGCAGCACATGTGTCAGGAGAGAGGACTACAGCTCCCCGGCACCAACACCCCTGTCGGTATGAATATAATGCACTTTCACTACATTCAATAAATACAATCAATCTTAGTTTTGAAATCTAGCTGTGTGAGGTAAGCCTGTTAAGACAATTGATTCATCATCTAATCGGGGTTATTCGATCTAATCGCAATAATGAGATAACCGCAATCATTTTGCAGTTTAAATTTCAATCACATTTTGCCAAAAAATTAAAAAAAAACACTGTTTTAAATGATTTGTATTATTATATTATACACAATTCAGAGTAAAAACATAACGTATTAGGCTTATACTGTAAGTCACATGACCTAATCAGAATTAAAGTGCCCCTATTATGCTATTTTAAAGGTTTCTAGTGTTGTTTTGGAGGTCTACTACAATAGGTTCACATGCATCCAAGGTCAAAAAACGCTTTCATTTTCTCAAATTATCCATTGCACATCATCACCTCATTTCTCAAAGAGTCTGAAAATGGTTTGTTTGATGATTCAGTCTCTCTAAACCCCTTCTTTCCGCCAGCTACTCTGCTCCGATTGGTCAGATGGGCCAGTCTGTTGTGATTGGTCTACCGCTTACAGCGTATGACGGAAATGAAACGCCACTTACCATATCTGAAATTCAGCTCCGGATTCTTCCTTAGCACTGGCGTCGGTTTTTCCGTATCAATTCCAGCACGAGTCCTCATCCATTTGAAATGAATGCAAAGTGGATTCGCAGCGCTAAAAACAGCGTCTTCTCGACATGTCGACACCATGAACCATACTCTTCCAGTCTCAGCTACAACTAAAGTGTCTGAGGGTCAAAGTAGATGTCATTTGCAGGCAGCCAATGAATACCATAGACAGGCATTATGCAAATTTGTTATGTCGGTAACAGGAAGTGAGATGGAATTGCTGACCATGCGTTTCAGCAGTTCGGATTCTATTCTTTCTTTTAGGAGACAATAACTTTATTTGTCATGCACTTTAATTTTAAAACTTTTCAGACCTTTTTAACTTCACAAACACTGCATGAAAGGTAATATTCAAAAATATTTGAAAAATTCGAAATGATAGCACATATTCATGATCATGACAGGCCTAGTATCAGGTTTGGTGGCCAAATTTTAGGGACTTTCAGCAGATTTGCTGTTTATTTGGGTTTTCTGATCACATATTTATAACCAGCAGTCATATTATGTTTTGTGACTAATATTCATGCTTGTCAAGAATCTGTTTTACTGAGTCAGCAGTCCTTTTAATTTTGTGTGGACATCAGCTAATAATAATGGCAAGGAAATGAAATTTGCTGTAAATACTAAATGTAATTCATTCTTCAGTTGTGTTTGTCTTAATTCCAGGTGCATTTATGGATATCATAGCAAAGTGTGAAATCTCCAGGGTATTGCTGTTAATGCTGCTTGAGGTAAAGTAAATATTTTAAATAAGCTCACCTCACACTTTGGACAAAATATTAATAAACCAGACCTATACCATTAGTGGGTTTATTTACTATCCCAATAAGCATACTATATAATATGTTTGTGTGTGTGTTTTAGCCTCCCCCTCAAAAGCTGCTACCCGAACACGCTCAGACACTAGAGCGATACGCCTGGGAATCCTTTGACTCACATAGTCAGGGTAAAACTTTCTAAATAATAGAGAACCAGGTACAGTGTTTTATTTGGTTGCTATTCTGTATAAACTGTTGTCACTGTCTGTCCTCTAGTGAACTTCCTTCCAGAAAATGTGTTCCTTCTCCTACAGTCAGTTGTGGTATGTATTTAAAATCGATTTATGTAAAATTAGGTTGTTAAAACATACAGTGTCCAACACTCTGAGACCACATTTAATCTGCATTCAAAATCTGGATGCAAGTTTTCAGATTGTGAAATATGTAAAACAAAGTAGTGGTATGGCATTAAATAAGGAATAAATATACTTACTACATATGCAACATATACTACCATTCAAAAGTTTTGTGTCAGGAATTTTTTTTTAAAGGAATAGTTTTATTCGGTACCAATTCAGCATATTAGAATGATTTCTGAAGGATCATGTGACACTGAAGACTGGAGTAATGATGCTGAAAATTAGGCTTTGCCATCACAGGAACATGTTACATTTTAAAATAGAGAACATTTCTAATAATATTTCACAATATTACTGTTTGTTCTGTATTTTTGACCAAATAAATGCATCTTTTACTGGCCTGTTTACAGATGGCATGTCAGGAAAAGGATACAGAATCTCTCAAAGCTCTTCAGACAGAACTATGGTAAGCTTTCTGTATTTCCCACCTCATACTAGGCATTTATCCATATTATATTTAAGCCTTTGCAATTAGATAACCATTTTGAATCACCTTGCTCTTGTCTCACAACAGGCCTCTCCTTTCGGCAGAACAGAATCATCTCCTCCACTTAGTGGTCCAGGAGCGAATTACACCCTCCGGTCAGGGCATATGATTCGGCGCCATACACCCCCACAAAACACTTCTTATTGGAACATTCCTATGCCAGTGCCTGGTGCATTTTGCATGAGGACTGTAGAAGGTCACTGGACCTAGTAGAACTGTACAATCACATGTGAGAAATTTATCATTTCTCAATTGACATCAGGTTTCAATGTCTCTTATACAAACATGCTTCTTATCCTCCATTTTCAGATAATGGTATGATATTGTGTTTAAAAAAAAATGCTTAAAGTTGTAAAATATTGATGTTGTAAATAATAAGAATTAAAAGAAAGAATCTTCTGGCAAGGTTTTTATTTGTGTGATTTACTAAAATTAATGTCCTCCCTGGTTTACACTGTTTGGCTTTGCAATGAAAAAATAAAATCCAATCTGCAAAATAAAAAATACTTCTATAACTGACTGAAACCAAGCAAAGCAGAAACTGGATAACTCAGACAAGGAACTTCTTCCTTGAGAGGATATTGAATAATTACTCCCATAAAAATAGTACATTTTGACATTTTTAAAAAAGAAAAGCATTCTTAAAGTTCTTTTGGAATATTCTGTGCTCTAGAATTAGAATCATACAGGGTGATCATCTGACCACGTGAACAATCATTCATCATGCAAATCAAAATACTTGGCATAGCAACAGGACCCATGATGTCATTATCAAGAAAACCACACAGAAATAGTTCAGGAAATATGATGGCAGAGTGTTTGTACAATCAAATTACAAAAAGTCTACGTGACCAAGTGAATGATCACAAACTGAGCAGCACCATAATGTATAGCAGTAACAAAGATTTGACCCTTATCTTGACCTACAGTAGAGACTATCCTGTGCTATTGCCATCAACAACATAAATTGAAAGAAAATATGAAATTAAATAAACATGTTTAAGACAAAGCTAGTTCTTAAAGTGCGAATGGTGTTTAAAACTACTTTTATAACGTTTTTCTGTATGTACTTTATATGTACAACTTAGTTTTTTTCTTTATACATATTATAAATACATTTTGTACAATTCATTCTTGTATATACTGTATTTACTTCATCTTTACCGTCTTTACACACTAACCCCTGCAATAAAGTTTGTTCAGACCCTCTAACAGCCCTCAGTGCTTTGTGGAAGTAGGAAGATGACCAATCAAACCAATCTATAGCATTACTCAAAATAAAAATGCCGAGTCAAGGCTTTCACCTATTTTAAACTTGCTCAAACGTTTAAATGAACTGCTGATGCTATGATTCTACATTTCCATCATAGGCCTGTATTCAGGAAAACTCATTCATTTTCAGGTACTGCACCTACACTTTGAAGTAGTACAATTAGTCAAAGTCCACATTAAAGTTAGCATGACAAAAGAAAGGAATATCCGAGGCTGTACATTAGCACTGAGAGCGAGGGCTAAAGTTTAATCCACTCTCTTGCGCAGGACGATGTACATAATTCCCGTGAAGAGGGTCAGCAGCCATCCAAACCAGGCCATGATGTAGGACCAGCCATACCAGCCGTCCTTCTCACCTCTGTGGAAGTGATCGGTGTAGACTGACAGAGCCACCATTATGCAGAAACCTAGAGGTGCAAGAGAAACATATAAATGTGTGTGTTTTTTTATACATGTACAAACTTTGAGACAACAATCCACACTAGTGGTCAATATTCGGCATTTGTTTTAAATATCAGCATTGGCCGGTAAGTTTGTCTGTTTGTCCGATAAGTGTCAGAAGCGAACTGTTATTTTGACAGTGCTGGGACTTTTATTTTGAACTTATTCTCTATCTTTATTCCTTTACTGTCTTTGTTTAACAGTTTTGTCTAAACAAATTGGCAGAATATTAGACAGAACTGTTAAAGAAAGAAAGCAAACAGTATATACATAAAGTATTATAGCGTTTACCTTTCTATTAGTCATAGAAAGTATAATTTAGTCATCTACAAGTATAATTCTTGTTTTTTTTTTTACAGATTTAGTTTTTTTTTCAATTTAAATTTTTTGCATATTGATATATTTTCCAATTATTTCTAATTTAGTAAATACTTAAAATAAATATAAATTGTATTGCAGCAACTGTTATACATGTGTTGTTTAAATTAAAGTGAGATATATAAAATATATCCTCTTTATACCCTACTCTCTAAGATGTCAGCATCAGCCATCAAAAAATCCATATTGGTCAATCACTTATAAACACACAAACACATCTCAATGACGCCTCAATTTAACCTCAGATTTCAACCTGATTTCACAGGAAAATGTAACTATGTTATGAGGTGGCGATTTTGTATGAATTCGTACAATTCTTAGAAAAAAGTAAGCATGAAGGTCCAGCCTAACTCCACCCCTAAATATACCCGTCACTCGGGCGTAAAGAGATTTTACGAAAAATTGTTACGAATTGCCATGAGATTGTGTTGCAGATTTTCAGAAGCAGGGACTTACATGAGATGAGCTGTACAACTCCGGAGATGGTGAACCGCTTTCCTTTACCCAGAGTAAAGAGTTGGAATATGAATACGCACAGAGAGAACACAGCAAACAGGCAGGACAGCACTGCAAACGCCTGAACCGCCTGCAGATAGTCTAGAAGGAGGGATAGAAGGGACGTCACGTGAGTGTCCCAGTCTGAACACTCTTAAAAATCAAGGTTTTTTATTGGAATCATGGCTCCATGAAGAAAATTAACCATCCAGGAACTTCTCCGTTGCACAAAATGTACTTTATATTGGTAAAAGAGTTCTTTAGATGATTAAAATGTTTTTCACACAAAAAAAAAGGCTCGTTGAAAGAAACCCAAAATGGTCATTCTATGGAAATGACGCAAACTCCCTTTTTGAACCTTTATTTTTAAAAGTGTAAAAGAGGGGCCACCAGCGAAAATACACAGATGCCTAAAAAATACCTACTGCTAAAATTATTTGTCTTACCTTTCCTGTATGAGGTCGGTATATCCATGTACACCCAGACATCATCATTGTTCTCCATCACCCATCTGCCCCACAGGTCTGTGTAAAGGGTCCTTGTGAACCACCATGCCTGGGAAAACAAAATAAAAAACTACCATTGGCTACAAGCAAATAACAATATAGTTAACAATTGAAAAGGATTGACTACTACAGTGACAATACAAACACTTACAATGCACACATATTTACATTTCATTACATATCCACATAAAAGAGGAATACTATTAACTTACATCATCTATAGTTGCCCAAAAGAGGAAGAATATTGTAGTCAGATGAAGCAAACAGATTCCAGCCAGGGCCTTCAACATATTCAGAGGATGAGAGGAGGAAACAGGGTGGAACAATATCCCTCTGAAAGGGAGGGAAATATTATAAGACATGACATCTTGTGTTTAAGAAATACTCCACATCGAAAGGTCCTGTGCGATTTAGCATCTATCTTATGATGACTGAATGAGAATAGCCACGTTTTGAAATGAAAAAGTTGTAAGAATGTATGCCAAGTGTTTAACTGTGTCCTATGCACTGGTGTTGAATGGAAGAGGGGTTTGATGACATCTTTTCAAAATGAATATATGCTGTTCATTCACACAGTACTATTACTTGTGTGCTAATAATAATTAAAGCCATGTGTGTTTGCATTTAAGTAAGGTAGAATGTCCCAATATGCTGATAACAAGCAGCCGTGGCCTATGACATCACTACATTAAAGCTGCATGATCCAAAGCGACAGATAGCCATTGTTTTGTTATTATAGGGTTACCTCTCCTTTTGGGATACTAGCTTTGTTTCCACCAAGATTACATGCACACATCTCCAACGACTGTAGACTACAATAGATGTCATAAGTAGAAGGTTTTCTTAAATCTTAAATATGAACTGAGATGTCATGTGATGCATGCTGTTCAGACAAACAACAAGAAAGTTACGATAAAATATTGTGTTAAATCACATTAAATTATAAACTATAACAGTTCAGAGCAGACCTCATGCCAATGCATTCATTTTACACACGTCAAAATAACGTCAATGCGATCAACAATGCATAACAATCTGTTATTTATTGTCACATGCTAGCAAATCTACAATAGCCTACATACATTAGACGAATGTACAATAGAATCCTGATTGTTCCTGATGCGAAAGCTCCCGCGAATTACAGATGTGCGACAGAGAATGAATTCGTGTAACGTCATACTTTCGGATGCAGCTTCATCCGAATTCTAAATAATCTAAACAGATTTCCCTTTGTGTTAATGTCGATTCTAATTCTCAGATGCCTAATTGCCTTCATAAATACTAACTTAACAACCTCAATTCTACAGCCACGGCACAGATAATAAAACGTTACCTTGGGTATTTTAAGCTCTCAATTTATTTCTTGCTTTTCTTAGCCTATATCTGATGACCCACCATCCGAGGATCCGCACTTCCCCGCACCTCGTCCGCTGTCTCGCCCCCCTCCCGCACTCTTTTGCTGCATAGAGGACCCCACCCATCCCAAGGACTTACTTTTAAGTCCTTACGTATCCCACCTCCAGATTGCGAAATCCTAGAACTGTATTGTCGCTCACGGGAAATTCATGCACGATGTGTAGTAATAGACACACAAACGTTAGTTTCTCTGAGTGTCAAAACAGCCACCAAAATATTTTATTCAAATGCCGAGCAGCTCAATGTTTAGACGCCTCCTTAAAAGCACTGGAAATTGCACTTTTGCCGCATGCTCAATAATTCTTTGCAAGAGTTTGCGCGGTCGTCATCCTATTACCTAAAGCTGTGATGTGCTATAGCTACAGCGATCTATCCGCATGCCGCAGCATCCTAACTCAGCTCTTCTGGAGATGCACGGTGACCGCAGACTCCACACTCGCCCGGTGTTGCACACATAACTGCAAGGTTGAAAGGGATTCATTGCACGGGCCAAAGCCAAACGCAGCACATGGCTACCCAACAATAGGGCGAACCAAGCGCCAGTCAAAACCCATCTCTCCAATCATGATAAAGTAGCGCAGGCAGAAAGTGATGCGCAGGTACTTTGCAGAGGTTGATGACTCATCTAAAGTAGGTTTGGAGCGACACCTACTGCGGATTGAACGGAGAGACCAGGGCTAGTTGTCACTGTTTTTTCTCCGTGCGTTGTCCATTTTCTTTCCAACATTTTTTTTTTGTTTGTGAATTTTTTTTTTGTGTGTGAATTTTTTCCAACTTTTTGTGTGAAAATTAATCATAATGGTTATATGTTCGTATTGTTCATATATAGGCTAAATGCCGCGTCGAGTGTTTTTATAAAAAACTATTATATTTATATTTCTAAATTATATTTATATTTACATTTATAAATATTTATAATTGCAAATGTAAAAAAAAATAGAAAAAACAAATCGTCTATATTTCATGAATTATGCTGTGTTTAATGGTTTTATCACGTCATCTCTAACACTTGTTTAGCTTCAAACATTTTCAGAAAGAAAAAGAGGAGAGTCATTAATAACTCTGATCGTACCACATAAACAACCGTTGAATACAGGTGAAACTCGAAAAATTAGAATATCGTGCAAAAGGTCATTTATTTCAGTAATTCAACTTAAAATGTGAAACTAATATATTATAAAGACTCATTACAGGCAAAGTGAGATATTTCAAGCCTTTATTTGTTATAATTTTGATGATTACAGCTTATGAAAACCCCAAATTCAAAATTAGAATATTGTGAAAACATTTTCATGGCTGCAGTGCTCGAATTGAATCAAGTCTTATGGTGGCATTTAATCAAGTCTTGTGGGGGCATTTTCGAATTGAATCAAGTCTTATGAGGGCATTTACCCCCCATAAAAAAAATGTCACCATAATTTTTTGTCACCATGGGGGGTTGTTTAGTTGGGTAGTCTCGCAATATACAATTTATACAAAATATACAATAAATTTGATCATAATATGCATATATACTTTTTATTAAAAACGGTTGATAAAGAATAATATATATATATATGCCTATATATATATATATATATATATATATAGCTATAGACCCAAAATGGCAATATGGCAAATAATATACCAGGGCACTACATAAGGCCCTTGAAGCATGTGACTTCAAAATACATTAAAATGTCTCAAAAACCGTAGAAAATAATCAGATGGCTTCCAGACTCACTGGATGGTATCACTGTCAGATTCAACAGTGGCACAGGAATAATTATTTCATAATGTTTCAGAAAGCAGTGATAAAGGAGCAGTCAGTAACTTCAAAAGGATATCTATCTTCAAAACTTTTTTTTTACTTAAACAGTAGCAAAAGGATGGAAAAATACTATCAGGCTGTAATGATACTGTTTAACTTTACTCAAAGAGTGCAGGACAACTGGGCAAACAGGATACAGTATTTGGAATAGTTCATAGGCATGTTCAGGAGATTCTCAAAAGTTTTTCAGCATCATTACTCCAGTCTTCAGTGTCACATCATGATCCTTCAGAAATCATTACGATGTCAATAACAGAAATCAATATGATGATTTGATGATCAACAAACATTTATGATTATGTTGGAAACAGTTCATATTTGTGTGGAAACCGTCATACATTTTATTTTTCAGGATTCTTTGATGAAGAGAAAGTTCAAAAGAACAGCAATTATTTGAAATAGAATCTTTTGTTTCATTATAAATGTCTTTACTGTAATTTTTGATCACATTTAATGCAACCTCACTGAATAAAAGTATTAATTTCTTTCCCAACATTTTTTTAAAATATATTCTTACTAACCGCAAGCTTTTGAATGGTATAAGTAGTTTAGGCCTATAATGCTACAAAAAGTGTCTATTTCTATTTCAGATAAATGTAGTTCTTTTGAACTTTCTATTCATCAAAGTAAAAAAAAAGGTAGGCCTACGTGTTTTCAACATTGATGATAATCATAATATATCCGGGTCCCTAATACCTTATGGGGTACCCCCCCTCCCCCCTCAATTCGAGTAAGCCATAATCAAAATTATAACAAATAAAGGCTTGAAATATCTCACTTTGCATTTAATGAGTCTATATAATATATTAGTTTAACCTTTTAAGTTGAATTACTGTATTACCTGTAGGCTGCAGTTCTCCATATTAGAAAATTGTTTAATGCCATTTAGACAATTAGCTTCAGCTGTGGTTCAGCGTAGGCTACAGCTCAAAGGCGTCGGTTCCCAGCGCAACACTTTTAATTAGTAGTTCTCAGGCTCGAGAGTTACCATATTTTACAAGCTATAGCTCGCAGGCTGTTTGTGCGAGCATAAGATGAGTTAAACCTCAAAATTGATGAAAAGTAATTGTATCACTAAGAGCGGGAGATTCAACTATCCGAAATGAATGCGTGCGGTCATCTTTCAATACTTTGCATCTTATTATTCGATTTTCAGCCTGTTTTTTGTAACGAATTTGCCAAGAGGGACGTGCCTAATGGCCACGACGAGATTTCAGGTGGCGATTTCTTCAAGTGTTGGCTAAACTCAAAACAGCGAAGAAGTGTGAAATCTGTTGGAGACGGAGGACTGAATCCATTAAAACAGACACGACAAATTAAACCGCAGTTTGAATGCGACGACCTGGTCTTTAAAGTTTTTCTAAAGCAAGCCGATGTCGTCAATCTCCGAATTCGTGGACGTAAGTGTAAACAGAATATCCTCTAACTTAGCCTACTGTTAATTTCACTTAAACCACTAAATTGCAAGTGATTTTTGTGTCAGCGAATAATAATTTATGGAAATTTAGAACGTATTTTATCTCTAGCCATTAATAATAAACTAATCTAGGCCAGCCAACATTAGTCAGCGACTTCAGATATCATACGAAATTTTCAGAGAATGTCTTTTTCGGGCGCTGTTAAGGAAGTTGAAATGATTCGCTAATTGCACTAAAATGCATAGGCCGCAGCTACTTTTTAGTAGGCTACAATTAGTGTTTTTTTTTCTTTGTTTTTTAAATCCCACTCCTAGTGCCTCATTAGAGATCTCCACTGATTTGAGTAAACTGTTTTTAAAACATTTTATACATAAAGTTGAGTGTATTGTCTAATATACAACATTCAACATTTTTATACTCTAGAATCGGCTTTTTATCGGAGCTCTTTCCCTTTTTCAACCTGTCACCATCACAGCTCTGATATTGTTTATGGGTGTTTCTGCAACTATGGGCACTTTTAAGTCCCAGCAGTGACATTTTTTTGTTCAAATTTGTCATTTGATGTTTCATAAATATATCCACAGTGCCATTACACACCTTGACAAAAAATATAATTACTGATTAATGTGATTAAATATAATATTATGAAGCATTTATAGCTCAAAACACCATTTTTGTTAATGTCCCACACCTGTGATCTCAATGTTGAGATACATAAAATAAGCTAATTTAATTACAATTTGACATTATTTCAAATGGAATTGTTTAATATACAGATTCATTTACAGCACCTTAAAATTCTTTGTATTATTTACTGATCATTTTTATGATTTTTTTTTAACTAAATGTTAAAAAAACCCACACTTTTGAGTCCTCACCGCAACAATGAAAAAAAACTTTTATGAAGTTTTATCGAACCCAAACAAGTCTAGTTTCTATGGAAACAGAAATTATCACTTGAGCACATTGCTGACAGACTGGGCCACCACACTACCTCACTCACAAGATACCAAAAAAATAAGGTAAACATCATCTTTTCTGCTCTAGTATTTGTGCGTCCTTACCATTCAGCTTAATAATTGTGTATTTTGAGCTACATTTTAAAAATAAATGTATATTACTGTTGAATTCTTGTATATTAAGATGCTAAGAGTCAAAACTAATGTGGTAGGCCTTTCTAGCTGCCAATTAGCTAAAATATTAGCAAAAATGTCATTTCCGCAACATGTCTTTACCGCAGCAAATTTAGGTGTTGCGGTAGAGACAAATTTAAGGTTTACTGTATATTAAATTACTAATATTCCTTATATTATTATTATTACTGAAGCATATATTAGAATATTTATAAACATGAATCATCAACTTTAGGAGACAATATTTTTGAAGCAGTTAAAAGAAAGTGTTAATTAAAAGAGTTATTTACTGCAAAACTGCTACTATCTTTTACACATGCAATACCTTTTGTTTTCTGTAGCATGCTTTTGTTTTTTTTGTTTTTTTTGTTTTTTTTTACAGTAGCCTGTTTTTGATTTCGTGGCAGTTTAACATTGTGTCCTTACCGACACAAGATGTCATTACCGCAGCACTGCTCTATTTTCATTTTTTTCACATTTTCATTTGCAAAAATTTTTTACTCTTAAGCTGAGATGATTAACACATTCAAATTGCAACATCTGTCATAAAAAGTTAGATATGTCATCTTGTGTGTATGGAAACAATTGACATCTAAGGTTACTGTACATTTTTTACATGGCATTGAAAAAAAACATGAAATTCCCTATTTTGTATATTATTTTATTATATCAGTATTTACAAAACTGTATCAAATTTGAAAAAGCTATTTAAATATATAATTTTATAGAAATTACTAAAGAAAAATGTATAAAATGAACATTATTGTAAAGTTGCGGTAAGGACACTTTTTAAGAAGATGACCCGAAAAACATAAAAAATAAACGTTCAAGATTAAAATCTTAACGACTACATTCTATTTTGTGTACATTTTTATGTATTACAGACTGTGATGGTTAAAATTGAAATTCATAGAGGTTGAATTTTTTTTAAATTGGGATAGTCAAAAGTGCCCGTAGTTGCAGAAACACCCTTATATGAAGCCCTCATTCTGTCCCTCTGATGTTCTGCCTTCTGTTATTTTTTTTAAGCAGTTATTCCAGCGTTAAGTCCAGTTGTTACTGGTATTATCAATAGCTACCTAGCAAATTGCTTTTAAACATGGTATAGTCCAGG